ACCGGAGCCGACCGGGCCTCTGGTACCCCCCATCTTTCTCCTTCTCGTTTGTAACCCCATTGTAGACTTCGAGCACCTAGGCTCAGGAATAAAGTCACCGACCGACCCAAACTGGACGTAGGGCACGTTGCCTAAACCAGTATAAATCCTGTGCCATTGAGTGCTAGGCCACCTCCGATCACAACGTACAGCAAAACTATAAATATTCACTAGTTGGTCACTTTCTGTACTGACACCACGGCTGCGCAACGACGCCTTGGTTGACAATCCCGTCTCGACTAAAAAACACGCACACATGCCCGCTAACAAATACCCCCTAGACGATTCTGCCCGAAACACCCGGGGCTCAAGGGCTACACCCGCGAGTGCGCTCGCGCGCACCCACTGACAAAACAAAAAACCTCCCCTGCTGGCAACACGAAAAACCCCCCGGACGATTCTGCCCGAATCACCCGAGGGCTCGGGGGCTAGACCCGCGGGTGCGCTCGCACCCACCCGCCGTCAGGACAAAAAAATCCCCCAGATGATTTTGCCCGAATTGCCCGGGGGCTCGGGGGCTCCTGTCAGGTTCATAAACTCGGGGTCCCTCGTGGACCAGCTTCCCAACAAAGGCTCGGCCCAAGCAGACAACGCGCAACTCATGGGCCGGCCCAAGTATCGGTACGACAGGCCATGAGGGCGATCCAATCACCGACCAGAAGGCCTCGCCGAGGAGGAACGACACCTGCCTTCCGACTTCGACCCACCTCTCCGACCGGAGCGCTCGCTTCGGTCTCCATCCCACCTCCGGACGGCCTCTCCGACCGGAAGGCCTGGCCAAAGCACTACTTCCAACTCCGACCCCACGTCTCCGACCGGGGTATGCGAATACATTGCTCACTTCTCTTCTCCGACTGGCGCAATCAGAGCCGGCTGGGACCAACCGACCGGGGACACCCGCTCGGAAAGGACCCGGTTACGGACGGAGAAAGTAAGGCAGGGCGCACAAGTCAAACTTCAATACCAAGGACCATACCCTGTACACCTGCAGAAACAGTACTCTGCAACCTCTCTGACACAAATAGTGTTGTAGGCGTCGACATTTTCCCCTACAATATTGTGGACGTCATTAACTCACATACGGTAAGGCTCCCCCCACATGCCTCTGGACACCGACAGTGTTGTGGGCGTCGGGATTTATCGTACCGAGTGAACATGGTGAAACTCCTCACATGCCTTTGGGCATCAACAGTATATGCAGGTACCAACATCTGCCATACCCGAACAAAGACGACGTAACTTCCCACGTGCATCTGACATCCAACAGTGTTGTGGGCGCCTACCATCATCCTGTACCTGCCGGCGTGGGCAACAAGGTTTAGAAGCATACGTACTCTCTCACTCTCACTTGTAAGGCCATCTCCTTCATCTATAAAAGGGGATGCGCTCTCTCCCAAAAAACTCAGTTAACCCAGATCGATTCAAGTGATTCCAGATTCATTAGATCGATCAAGTTCGCTAGCTCACAACCACAGAACCGTTAGGTTCGGACCTCAAGCACACACTTGAACACTTAGCTCATAGCGGAGCTCCTGTCGCTCTCGGCCCTTCCGACCGGAGCCGACCAGACCTCTTGTACGCCTCATCTTTCTCCTTCTCGTTTGTAACCTCACTGCAAACTTCGAGCACCTAGGCTCAGGAATAAAGTCACCGACCGACTCAAACTAAACGTAGGGCACATTGCCTGAACCAGTATAAACCCTGTGTCATTGAGTGCTAAGCCACCTCCGATCACAACGTACGGCAAAACTATAAATATTTACTTGTTGATCACTTTCTGCACCGACAAGCATGCAACTTGGTGAACGACAGATGGAATCAAGTTCCTTAGTTAGATATGAGTGAGCAGCATCAAGGGGAAAACACCTCTAAATTAAACATGAGCAACTGACCTCTAGATTTTTGAAGTTGACTATCTAGATATAAAAAAGTGAAGGTAAAGAGAAGTGATAGTTGAAACATGACTATCCATCGTTGAGTGATGATCAGTGTATTTGTTTGGCGGTGAAATTGAGGAACTACAAATAGAGACAGATCAACTAAAAGATGAATATGTCAACCATCACCAACCTTAAAACATGTCAAGCCATGTTGGTAGAGCAAGCTTTATTAATTCAGTTTCTTTGTTAAATAGAGTCCAAGGCTTCAAATTCATAAATTCCATCAAGGCATTTTCTCGAGCAATTGGGATGCAGGCAACATTTGCAGAAAGTAATCATGTGATGGCATTTATGTGTATATTAAGGATACCAGTTGTAGCAGGCTAGTAATTTCTATTGTACCAGCAGGAAGTTAACTACAAACAAATGACAGGAGAGAAGGGGGGTATGAGAGTATTGTTCTCCCAGTGTATCCTGCTCCATTATGACCTACGAACTTTGGCCCGTGGTCACCGGCGGCAACGGCGCATCCCGGGCTGCGCCACTCTCTTCTTTCCCGTAGATTTTGCAGTAGCAGTCGCCCAGCTCTGTGGCAGATGGCACGCACGACATCCTCCAGAGCTCCTTCCTGTTCGTCTCTCCCTTCTTCCTCCCCACCACCGCGTGTGTAGCAGATGCTCATCACTGTGGGGGCTGCACTCGCCTCGGCGGCTGCGGCTGCGGAAGCAAGCAGAGGCAGCGAGCTGACATGCGCCGTAGATGGTGCGTCGCAGGATCCATTCACGCGAGCTAGTCCTTCACCTCGCAGCTCTCCCGGCAGTTGTGCGCCCCGCCCGTCCGTAGGGCCCGTCCGTTGCACCGCGTGATGTCGCGCGTCCCCCGTGCAGCCGTATCGCAGCCCGCGCGCCGCCGCGCCGCAGCTCATCCGCCGCCCCGTGCCCCCGTGGGCAGTATGCTTCTCGAAGTGGCGCAATGGGGTTCGTGACCGCGGCGGCGAGCAGAGCCCGGAGGGTCGTGGCGCTGCAAGGGAGGAGGGGTGTCGTGAGGAGAACGGGACGAGCCGTCGGACGAGTGGGTTGGATGGTGGCAGCGTGGTGCCGGAGAGGGTGCAGGAGGCAAGGTCGAGGAGGGCGGCGCCGTGAGCTGCCGCTCGACCGTGGCCCCATGGAGCAACCCCGTGCGCCGCCACGCAGCAGCCCATTCGCGGCCTTGCGACCCCAGCGCCGCCGCCAGGCGCGCCGCGGAGTAGCTCGTCCGCGACCCCGCGACGCAGCCCCGTGCGCCGCGCAGGCGCAGCAACCCTGTCCCGCGGCCCATCCAGATGGCCTCGCCCGGTCCCGGCCCCGAGCGGGTAGCGACGATTCACCAATGTTCGGGTTTTCACCTTAGCGGGTGACGGACCCGTGATAGCTCCGATCGAACGGTGGATATAGCGTGATCCTCGGATCCTACGGTTCACGGGTTAACGGGCAACGTGGCCCGATCCACTGTCCGTCTTTTGGGTGCAGGATTCCAGATAACTAGAAATCATGCGCGGCATGCGCGGATGATCCTGTGTCGGGCCAGCACCAGCCTGCGATACTTCAGCCAGCCGCTGCAGGCGAACAGAACCGGATTCCATACACATTGTGGATAGCCTGGTTGAGGAAATCATTCTCAAAGAAAGGATAATGACTATATCAACTTGAATAGAGAAAAGGAAGTTCAGAATACGTGGAAGGCCTAGATAGTATAGCGATTCAGAAGAACTCGTGATAACCAAAGAAGACATGTCAACATCTCATTGATCTGATTTTGTGTATATTGCAGTATATACGACGGACACCACGGGGCCCCACATGGAGATACACAAAGGTGCTAGAACTCCTATATATATAATGACTGCAGCATGCAATAGCTATATAACCCTTCTGTTCCAAGTCTTGTCTTCTATTTCCATGTTCCTGCTTGTTGAATAGTCGCTGCAAGTGTGTAACAGGGAAAAACAATCAGAATATGCTTTTTTTTGGCTGTATGCCTATACTGAGTTTCAATTATGGGCAGTATACTTTAGGTTTACTCAATCAGAACTATGGAGATTGGAGAATAGGATAAGCGTGATACATTTGTCTCATGTGCAAGGGAACTTTGCTAATATCATGTGGAACCGAAAGTGATGATGGAGCTTAAGCTATAACCTGGTCCAGCCAGAGATGCTTTTTTTATTACTTATTTACCTTTTTATTTTTCACTTGTTGGTTTAGAAAATTATAAGGTTTCAAATAAAGATGAGTTGAGTTCCAATTGGGTTAAATTTTGGTAGGTCTTGGTGCACATTTTTTCTCTTATATAGAGAGAACAAATTTAAACGAGCTTCTGTTAGTATTGTTCTATTTCTACTGCTGGGACCTTGAGATATGTGATGGACCCTGACCTGGCCTCGCTGTTGGAATTTACCGGCAAAGAGGGTGTTTTTGCTGTCCAGGGTTTGACCCAGGGGAGCATGGTAGGTTGTCCTGCAAGAGCTCTTTCTTGCCAGTTTAGAATCCATATGAATCAGTATAAGCACAAAATAAAAGGAATAGATGTCTAAGCTATTACCTATGTGTATGCAAGATGTAGGGAAGTTCATCGTGAGGTAGCTTTATATCCCCTTTTCTGTAATTTTTTTATAATGGGCCTTGAAGTTGGAGCTAACAACACTGATTGAAGATTTGTTTTGTTTGTCAGTCCAATCGTACAAGTATCATGCAGTGATAATTTTAGCGTAGCCGTAGCATAACTTTCCAATGTGTTGCACATGACAACTGAGGCTGTGAGGTGGACTAATGTGCTATGACAGTATCACTCGATTGAAAACATATTGACATTTTTTTTCTTTGGATTAGTTGCTTAAAGTAGTGCATAAAAGATACTAATCAACGTTAGGCATGCATTTCCACATTATACCATACTGCAGTTAAGATTCTTGTTTGAAGTTGAATGATCCTTACAGGTTTCTGGTCTAATTTATTCAGTTTTGCAAGGAACTTGTTCATTCTTATAAGCACATTATATATAAAACATCTGCACATTCGAGATATTCATCTAAAAGCTCAAAATTCATGATTTGAGATTATCTACCAAAAAAAGGAACAAGATAAGCATTGTCAGACAATGAACTGCCTTATTTTCTTTGTAAACCCATACCTTTCTGAGCAAGAGCATAATCAGAATTCAGAAGTGCAAATACAATGCCGATGTCACTATCACTATTGTGGACCAGCTTGTAGAGTTCCACGTCGATATCAACGGTGGCATCGCGACTGATTCTTTCTGTTGATCAACTCCAGGTGCTGAATCAGTTTTGATTGGTTGACATTCAGGTTGCGCTCTGCTCGCTAAGCAGGCGGCAAATTTCATGAACAATGGAAGCAATACCCGATCAAACCAAAGCCTCCAAGAAATGCCAGAGAGCAAGAAATGCTAGCACGCATCCTAACCTTGTCATGGGCCGGCTGCTTGGCAACGCTGTCTTCTTTTCGTCCCTTCTACTCTTCCTGAAGAGAGGAAAGGAACACCACGGTTAAACAAATTTGGACCCAAGAACCATAAAAAAGACACGATCTTGTGATAGGAGATTACTGCAACATGGGCTAACAAAGTTGCTCAATTAATTATAGGGTGGTTTAGATGTGCTAAAAGCCTGAATATTTCCTCTACCAAATGCATAGAAAAGAATACCTTATTGCATACGCCGCTTTTCTTATTTTTCCTGTTTTATCTTATAGCATAGTGAATAAAAGCAATTTCGAGAGTGAATGAAATGTAGCATTGGTACAAATTCTATTTTGATAAAATGGTAGCGTAACCAAAAATGCCATTACAAATCCCAAACCAGGTTCAGATTACGCATGTTTGGGCTTAAGGTTAGAAATCGTTTCTGAACGATAACACTGAGCACTGCATAATTCAGAACTACGAAATCCCTCCCACTCAATCAATGCACATCTAGGAGCTAACTAATCATTTCGTCTCCCTTCTCCTTCCTGAAAATATTTGAATACAAATGATTTCTAATAGCATTACAATAAAGTCCATATGAGGAGAATAATCCTAAGTAATAGGAGAGGAGAGGGATAAATCACAGCATGGGACGGAGGCAAACCTGGGCCTCACCTTCACAGCTTGGATCAGTGCCAAATCTGGCGGTTGCCTCATTGCCTGGAGGAGGGGAGTGGTAGTCCATTGCTGCGGGAGAGCGAGGTACGGACGCCATGGATTTCGGCTGTAAATCACGGTGGCGTTCATCCAGCCGAGAACGACGCCACTTAGCCACCGCCATTGTCGACGCAATCCATGCCAACATCACTTGCGGCTAGCCATGGAGGAACGACTGAGCTCAAGGCGGGGGCGAGAGCTGACAGGGTCGCTGGGGCCTCATCCGCCGCCGGGATGGCCTGGACCGGAGTGGCTAGGGCCGCCGCGCCAGCACCCCGCCTGCGCCGGGGCCGCTGGGGCCTCCACCCACACCGGGAGGAGGGAGGTGCGGGGGTCGCCCGCGAGCGGTCTCCTCCTCACGGGCTACCGCCGCCGCCAAACCGCGCGGGCACAGCCGGCGGCGCCCGTGGTCGCGCAGGTGCGCGAGGGCCCTGGGCAGGCTCCATCGCCACCGTCCGCTCTTCCCCTGGCGGGAATCGGCAGTGCCGAGCGCGTGCTCTTCTCTGCTCCCGTGGGGAAGAAGGGGAAAATCTCGTTGGTGCAAGGGTCGCATGGACGCGCGCCAGACGGGCCGTGCGCATGGCCGGCGGCGCGGGTCCGGGTTGACGGCTTAGCGGGACAGCCGGGGTTGACGGTGCCCGCACCCCGCCCGCGCTGGGGCCGCTGGGCGCCGCCCGTGCCAGGAGGAGGGAGGTGCGGAGGAGGCGGACGGCGGTGGGAGGACTGGAGGAGAGAAACGCGCCGCGGACAGACCGAGAAGGCGCCCGCGAGCGGGTTCGCGAGGATTCGCGACCGCCCGGGTTGACGGCTTAACGGGTGTGAGACTCGCTACAACCCAGATCGGACGGTCCATATGGCGTGTTGGCTGGATCTGACGGCTGGAGGGTTTGCGGGCGACGTCTGACCGTCTTTTGGAAGCAGGATTCCTATATAGAGATATAATATACTGTACGTACTACGTGACCACTGACCAGTGCTAAGACTATCTCCAACCACGACAACCTACACACAGCATCTATTCTTTGATTTACCTATTCTCTGATTTGGATCATGCACAGTAAAAAAAAGATCCCCACCGACCCAAATCACCTCCGTCATCTACAGTACAACACTCTTTCTTCCTCCCATGTTCGTTTCTGTAGGAACGCACAGCAGGAAAAGGAAGAGGAAAGCGGCGGCTAGCCACGGCCTGCAGGGCCCGTGCCTACACCGCTCTTCACGCGCCTTCGCCGTGCTGCAGGAGCTCTGGCGGGGCAAAGCGCCGCGCGCGCGCCAGGATCGGCAAGGCGGCGTCGGACGACCGGAGAGGGCGGCCGTCGCGCTGTGCCGCGCTTGTCTTGCGACGGTGGCAGCAAAGACATGACGGCGGCCGGGGGCGCCCGCCGCGTTCAAGCAGCCGTTTAAGCAGCTGGCAGCGGCGGGCGGCCCGGGGCGGCTCTCGGTGGCGGTTTCGGCTGGGGCGGACCGGATCATGAGCCTCTCCCCTTCCGGTCAGCGACGCGCAAGGTCGAGAACTGCCGCCTCGCCGAGGCAGAGGCCGCCGCCGCCGCCGCTTCCGCGTCGGAGCCGTCCAAGGCCGCTTCCTCATCGACGCCGTCCTAGGCCGCCACGCGCAGCGGAGAATTGGGTCGAGGAGAGAGACACAGGCATATTTGCGTACCCACTCGACTCCGACGCAAACTGCGTCTTTAGTTTGGGTACTCGGTTGGACCAGCGTTTTTTCACCGAAAGCAACGTGCACGACCTATATTTTGGTTTGGGTGCCGTGATGGCTATCCCGTTGGAGACAGTCTAAGTGCCTCCCGCGTGTCCAGCTGCACCTCTCAAGTCGTCACCACGTTTCGAGTTTAATCACGGATTACGTATGCTGCTATATATACTACTAGTTCGTTTCAACTGTTCAAGTTTTCCCTTAGAAATTAAATGCACTTCATAAGAAAAAGATTTATATAAACTTAATTAGAAAGCCCCATTTTGAAGGAAGGAATTACTCCTAATGTTCTTTTGCATCTTTCACATGTAGCGTAACAAGGACGGACTTGAGAATTCTTTCCTTTGTGTGACTTCCTTTGCATACAATGCTGCTTTTTATAGGTGCTCATGAAAAGACACGGTTCACCCTCTGGAGATTTCTTTGCCATTTTCCGTTCTCACATTTCAGATTCAAGGAACGATTGCGAGTTCAAAGCACTGACTGATCTTTAGAAAGGTAAATGCTTTAGAACTCTGCCTACATAACCTACCTATGTTTATGCTTTTTTTTTTCTTTGAGGTTCCAATTAGAGCGGTTCTAAACAAACTAGAATAGTATGGATCAAGATTTTTTTAATACGATCAATGGGAAAAAAAACATGGACTCGTGAAAATGGTATGTTATCTACCAACAAAAGCTATAAGATACCTTGATATAGAGAATAGATACCGACTAATTAAGTGAGTGGCTTTTAAAATTATGCAGTGAAGGTGGTATTTGGCAAGAGTTTGCTAAGAAATAAGTAACTTTAAAGATAAGATCTGGACACATGTTAAAAGAACAGGCGGTTCTTATTTTCGGATGGGTCTTTTAGGAGAATAATTAGTGTGTAAGAACCAAAGAACATAGGAGCGAAACAGCTCTGTTCGGAATGGTTTCGAACGATTCACAATGTGCTGTCTAAGAACGTGAAATGGTGAAAACCTAGTTTTCGCAGTGATTCTGATCTTCCTTTTTCACATTGTTTTTTAGTTAATGCTTTTATGATATATAAGTTAAAAAGTTAAAATGGGATATATTTAAGTTATTCTTCATCCACAAAAGTTTGAACTTTTTTTAAGCTTATTTTCATTCATGTGATTTTTTATGTAAAGGCACTTTTTGAGTTAGAATCTAGCCTACGGCCAAATGGTCTAATAATTTTGATTCATGGTTCGAAATGCTTTCCGAGAAAATTTGAATTCCTGGCAAACACACCCATAGAATCAACTGTCAACGTAGCTCACATATACTTCATCGAAGAAGCCTCCCAACGCTAGATGGCTAGCCCAATCTGCAGTGTACTCTGGCCCAATTCTAACACAGTTGGACAATGACACGAACTACACCAGCCCATCCAGTACTGGGCTGCTGGCCCGGAGAAACTGGGCCATCTCCCCCTCCCACTACACAGACCAAAGAACTGCTCGGACAGCCCCGCAGGCTTCACGGCGACGAGCTCTCAAAACAGCAGTGCGCCTGGCCTGGCTGGGCACGGGCCCAACGGCAAACGCGCCGAAGCGGCCGCAGATGAGACAGCCCACGAGCGTCGCGATCTGCGTAGACATGGCGCGGCGCGTGCACACGGCCAAGACCCAAGAGCAAGAAGCACGGCGACCGCGCGTGGACATGAAGACGGGGCCCTGTCGCGCGCGCGCTGTTTTCGCCTCATGGACAAGGACAAGAGAGCCAGTTTATGCGCACGGCGAACCAATCGTGCTGCCGTACACTCGAATTCATGCTTGTGTAGTTTCGTTGGATATGCTTTGCTTCTTCATGGAAAATTGGAAGTAAAACAAAAAATCTTGTGTGGATCAGCTAAAGCTAATATGTCAGGGATTACCCATGGTTGGGCCTTTATATGGGCCGTGGGCTTAGGCCTAGTCGAGCAATGCTGGACAGCTTGGTGTCATCTACAAGAAGGCACGGGGACAGCAGCGAAGGGGGCATCAATCAAATTACCAACAGAATATCTCTTTCTTAGTTGTACTGTTCATCTTCTTCTTAGGACTCTGTACTTTATCTAGTTCCTTGCTACTTGAATCAAGTATTTGAGGGCAATTCTAGTTGGGTTGCTAACAATTGGTATCAGAGCTAGTCGATTCTTGGTATAGCACAATGAATCCTTCTGTCCAGCTTGTCTTCGACGAGATGCGCAGGACGTTCACTGAGATCCACAGCAAGTTCGACGAGTCCGCTGCTCGTTGGGACCGGCTCTTCATCGAGTCCCTCGCCGCGCCAGAGCAGCGAGCTTCCGCCATGGACCTCCGCGTCGGCAACCCCGAGCGATACCCCGCGGCGCAGTTCGATGCCCCGGTGGTCACCGACAACTGGGGTGGGCTCTTCGACGGAGGCATCGACTCTGACGAGCAGCACTGCGAGGCGCAACCCATGGTCGCCGACAACTGGGGCAACCTGTTCGAGCCTGACCCCGTTCTGGAGGAGCACGTCTATGAATCGGCCAACCTCTTCGACTCTGCCTCGCCTTCGCCGATGCAAGAGCAGTGGGATGGCGCTGTGGACCTCCGCGTCGGCGCCCTCGAGTGGATCCCTGCGGTCCGGTCCGATGCCGTGGTGGTTCCAGACAACTAGAGCGGGCTGTTCGAGCAGCCTGCCCACACCTCGGAGGAGCGCGACCATGACCTCGCCGCCCGCGTCGTCCTCATGGGACTCGTGTCCGCCGACCAGATCCACAACGAGAACAGCCTCACCTCCACCGTTCCTGACGTGCTGCTCGAGTCCGACCCCACGCGCATCGCCCACAGGGTGCTCGACGTTGGGTCGCAGCCACGACGCGCACGTCGTCGCGTGGGTGCCGCGGAAGGTTGTCGCCAACAACCGCGTCCGCTCTGCCATGGACTGGCTCGTCGCGGAGCGCTCCTCGCCTATGCCATCGTTGTTCACGTGGACGCGCTGCCCATCCTCTCCCCGCTTCCCTCCATGCCGCCGCGGCTCAAGCTGTTGGCCCACTCCCACCTCACGGGCGCCTCCGCTGTCCTGGGGGAGATCATGTCGCAGAAGCACGTGCTCCGCCGCGACTTGGGCCTCCTGGATTCGGCGTCCGCCTCGGGGCTCCTCCAGCGCGAGTCGGTGCTGCTATGGACCTGCAACTTCCAGGCGTAGGTCGTGCCCGCCCTCACCATTGATGGGAACGCCGCATCAGCGCTCTCCACCCTATCCGCGGGGGCATCCGCCGCCGTCGAGCTCGGGAGCCCCCAACACGAGCTCTTCTTCGCCGCCTCCGACCTCCACGCCCACCTCCTCTGCTGGGACGATTGCGCTGCTGTTGACAACGCCATCGAGCTCGCACCAGACTCCATCGAGCTGGCCCACTTCCACGCTATGCTGCTCTTCGTCGATGCACTACCGACTCCTGACGTCACTATGGAGCA